TTCTCGCCCCAGAGGGGGTGGGGCCGGACAGGAACAAGATGGCTGCCTGCCTCCGAGCAGGCAACCGGATCCCCACGCCAGGCGGACAGGACAGTCTCGGACGCAGGAGTGGTGGCAGCGATCCCAGCAGATCTTCTCTGAAGCGGTTTGGTGTGGATCTCCTCCGGCCGGGTTGTGATGAGCTACCCATGCCAGAGGCCGCAGCGGCGGCGGCGGTGGCGGCGACGGGAGCGCTGGTGGGGGGAGGGGCTGCGGCAGCCACGGGACCGTGCAATGCAGTAAAACTGTCCAGTCCTTGCGATGTTCCAGCGATAGTGATGGCCGAGCTCTGTCTGAACAGCAGGCTGCAATGCTGGGGTCCCCAGCCTCCCGGGGCGAGAGTCAGAGACCCACTGCAGATCTCCCTTGTAGAGGGCTTCAGACACCGGGTTTCCTTCACTTCAATTTTTGACTCATTCTACTTTTAGGGTTACCTGCATCTTCCTTATTGCTGTATATGAGTATTAGCTTTTTAAATTCAATGACACATTTAAAAATGTATATATTTCTAACAGGATACTGGTGTATATAATATGTTATGTCTATGAGTAATTGCAAATTTTTGGTATTATAGATTATTATATCCAATGGTAATATTGCTAATTAGCGTAATTAAATCTGTCAAATTATAAAATTATCTATCTATATTGAAGATTCTCTTGCCATATTCATGACCCAAACATAAGGTGCTTGAAATAAAAATACATTTTCTTGAGTTTTTTTTCCCTTTATTTTATTATAGAAATGTGGGTACAAGTCAGGATTGGGTACATAAGTAGTCTACGTGCAGGTGAAGTTTGGGCCTCCAACTGGTCTTCACTTTTCCTGGTTAAAGATCAGGTACCCTTAGTGATGTTATGTGCCTACCCTCCTCCTTCACCTGGCAGTGTCCCACTACTGCTGATCTCTCTCTTGTAGTAATGTGATAAATGTTCAAGACCCACTTATTAGTGAGAACATATGATATTAAGTTCTTTGTTTCTACAGTAGATCACTGAACGTTGCTGTGAATTCCATATTTTGTCCTTTATGGCTGTGCAATATTCCATTGTGTATATGTTCTACATTTACTTTATCCAGTTCACTCTTGATGGGCAGCAGGGTTGGTTCCATGTTTTTGCTATTGTGAATATAGCTGCAATAAAATGCGTATGCAAGCATGACCTTCCACTTCTGGGACTATACCTGGAGAACTCAAATCATTCTTGAGATTTTTTTTTGAGGTAATCTTGATGATTTTATGTGCAGTCTTAAAGAAGCTGTAACGTCTTATAGCAGTCACAGACTGGAATTACATGAAACAAGATCGAATTCTGGCTCCAACACTTACTCACACTACTTAATATTACCACATCTCAATTTGCCTATTTATGAAGCAAAGACTAAAAACCAGTTCCAAGGCTCTTTGGAAGATTACTCCCTCAAATGAATATATTACATATATAACATATTATACATACATATAAGTAAATATATGAACTCATAAATAATATCGTTATAGATAAAGTTGGCCTAAATTGATCACTCAGTAAAGTATAATCCTTGTTAGTCTTTGGAGTATCTTAAAATGTAAATTAAATGTGGCAACTAGTTCAATCTTGATTCAACATCCTTTAAACATAATACAGAATATCATACACATTTGATTCTTTTGTTATTTTTTATGCCAGAAATTAGCATTTTTTTTACATAACAGTTGTTTAGCAGGACTGTGAGACTTTTTTAGTCAATCAGTTGGAGGTCATGTATTCTGTATCATTAATATATTAGGTTTTATGGACACTCAAGTATGCATCCAGTACATTCAAGTGTGCACAGAAATAAAGTATTTTCTTTTATGGCAGATTTTGGATATACAATGGAAAGAAAATTTAATCGAGATTGATGCTGTAGAAAAACTTAGGTCAAAATATCAGGTAAAATAGATAATTTGTCTAGACTTGGTTTATGTGCTGTGTGGTGGGCAGAGGAAGAAACAACCTTTAATTAGAAATGACATTTAAATAGAGACATAAATGAAGAATAGAAATCAAGTGGAAGAATGAGGGAAGGATCATTTTCTTTTTCTGAGTTGGAGTCTCACTCTGTTGCCCGGACTGGAGTGCAGTGGCCACTCCCGGCCACCGCAGCCTCGACCTACTGGGCTCCGGCCATCCTTCCGCCTCAGCCTTCCGAGTAGCCGAATCACAGGCACACGCTACCATGCCTGGCTGATTTTTTTATTTTATTGTAGAGATGAGGTCTCACCAAGTTGCCCAGGTGGGTCTCGAATCCGCAAGCTCAGGCAATCCACTCACCTCAGCCTCCCAAAGTGCGGGATTACAGGCTGAGCTACCGAGTCCGGCTAGGACCATTTTTAAAAGAAGCAACAGCAGGTGTAAATTCCCAGAGACACAGGACAGAGTCCAAAGGATGACCATTAGGCTTGCATCTCAGAAACATAAAAGAAAATGAATCAATATGAAAATTTACATAGTATGTAATTTTGTCAGGTTTTTTTTTTGGAGAAAAATTGATGGACACAATGTATTCTAATTTATAAGCCATTTATTTAATGAAAAATTTAATTATTACTTTAGTTTAAATTTTTTATTTGGTCTTCCTTATAAATTATCAGAGACTTCCATGCATACTGCTATGTGGTTTTCATTTGATTATTTTGATTTATATTAAAATTATAAGTTTTCATGATACTCAAAAATTTATTTCTTAATTTGGGTACATTTTGAGCTAAGATGTTTATATTCTACCTTAGCAATGGAAAGCTTTCTCCATTCTTAATAACTTAATTCCTAAACTGCAATTAATATTTTGATATTGTACTTATAATTTTATATCCTTTTGGAAAATAGTCTTTTCCACCTTTATTATTTAGTCAGTATGACCTGTGAATATTTTAATTTTAACATTTCAACATTTTAAATGAATATGAATAAACTTTATAATCCTAAACATAAAATTCTGCTTCTATCTAAAACACATTTTTTGGATATACATTTGCTTTGTTTTTTTTTTTACTCTTCGATTATATCTTATTATTTTTTGATAATAGCACTTTAAAATTTAGTTATATCAGATTATCAGTGAGCTAAGTAAGTTCAGGTATATGACCAAATTTTCAGTGTCTGCCTGAAACGTGGCCTGTCAAGAACTAAGCACTTAATAATTTTTATTTGATCAATTAAAATATTCAGCAACATTTCTACTAAAAGGAGGAATTATTTTCTTGCAATTCCAGGACAATTTAAGACAAGTTATTTGCTTCCTTGTTTGATTTGAATTTGTTTTAATTTTTGCTAGATTAGAAATAAAAGTAGGCTTACATTTACTGAATAAATATTATCATGTCTCCTAATGGGATCTTATCCTGAAAGAAGTTTGTTTGCAAGGTATTAAAGGAGTGAATTTATGTGGTGGAGGTTGTTTGTTCAGGGTCCAATAAATATTTGAGAAGATTAACCTGAATAGAGACCAGATCTGAAAGAGATTCAAAACTAAATGGTTTATGCTTAGCTTGATATTTTATTTCTATACTTGAACATTCTCTTAATGATTTGAGACCAAACCAATTCTTTTAAATGAGTCGCTGAATACTTGTCTCACTTGTTTGTTTCTCAGAGTGTAAATGAAAGGGTTCAACATGGGAGCAATGGATGTCATTAGCATGGTCACACCCTTATTAATAGCCACAGATTCCTTTGCTGAAGGATTGATATAGACAAAGATACAGCTTCCGTAGGTGATGGAAAACACAATCATGTGAGAAGAACAGGTGGAAAAGGCCCTTTTCCTTTGCTGTGCAGAGGGGAATCTTAGAATGGTTTTGATGATGTATATGTTGGACAGAACAACACACACAAGGGTTAGAATGAAGGTCAGCACAGCACAAACAATTACCAACTGCTCTATGAGCCTGGTGTCTGAGCACGAAATCTTCAAGATAGGAGATGCATCACAGAAAAAATAATCAATGACATTAGAGTCATAGAATTTCAAATTTAGGAACAGGGTAAGTGGTGGGAATATGATGAACAAACCAGCCATCCAATAACAGATGACTAGAATCCTGCAGACTCTGTTACTCATGATGGTCACATAATGCAAGGGTTTGCAGATGGCCACATAGCGGTCGTAGGACATGGCGGCCAGAAGAAAAAATTCTGTTACTCCAAAGACATCAGTAAACAACACTTGAATGACACAAAGATTATAAGTAATTGACCTGTCACCTGATGCTATGTTGTACAAGTATCTAGGAATGCAAGCAGATGTAAATGAAATTTCCAATAAGACAAAATTTTGTAGGAAAAAGTACATAGGTGTTTTAAGGTGAGAGTCCAATAAAGTGAGAGATATGATGGTCAGATTTCCAGTTATACTCAGCATGTACGTGAGAAACAGAAACACAAAAATTGGAATCTGAAATTGAGGGTCTTCTGTCAGTCCTAATAGGATGAAGGTTTTTATTGTGTGGTTTTTCATCCCTGAAAACTGCATGTTATTCAATCCTCTTGTAAAATTTAAAAATATTTTATTTGAATAGAGAGGCATCAAAACCAGATAGCAATAAACAATGACTATGAGGGACAAAAATGTACTCACTGAGAAAGAACAAATGAATCCATATGTAGTTGCTTGTGCAAGTAATAATATTTCCAGTACTCTGGTGGGCTTGGCTATTCAATTGTTTATTTTATTTTTGTTATTTTGATAGTTTTTAATAGATTTTTATACATATTTCAAAAATTTGTTTACCAATTCAAATTTCTCTTTTACTTCACATTTGTAAACTCTACCCAAGACTGGATTTCCCATTTGGTTCACAATATGTTGTCATTCAATAGAATTATGAATTTTTATGTTCAGAATTTCTTCTGTATTTTAAAGATAAATATTTAACCATAACCACTTTTTGCATGTCTTTCCTAGAAGATTTGGTTCTTGACAAAAATGTAAATATGTAGCAACTAATTTGAACTCTGTACACAGGCTTTATTGATCCATCTGCAACTTGTATTTTACTTTTGCCCTCATGGCCATCTTGTAGTTAAGTTATTTTGTGTTTTAAAACCCACATTGTTGGTCACTCCTCTGACTCATCTTATGTTTCACTGTTAGTATATTACATACGTTCAGTGTTCACTGGGATACACGATACAGATGGTATTTTAATGCACAATTTCTTTGTTAGATATGAAGAAAAGTTTGGTCCAAGGATATGCAGCTGGGAAAAAAAGCATATTTGTTTTATGCTTTCAATCTGCTTAGTTAAATGTAGAAAATACTTTATCATCTTGCTACCATTATCAAGTTCAAAATCAAAATTTAAACACTAAATATCCTTCCCATGCACTGGCTGTATACAAAGAGCTCTCACTTCTTGAAAACTTCCAAAACTCTATTATCTGTGTTGACTGCTCCTCATCTGTGCTCCCATGACAAGTAACTGTTACTTCTATGAGTGTTTTAGCACTTCTGAGGAAGTAAGTTTGTTGAAATAAACAATTGTGTTTTTAAAAAACGGGAATAGCTACCCAAACTAATAAAACTCCAGATTTATGATCAATGTTCAAGAAGCATGGTATAAATACATACATCTTTGTCACTGATTTTATTATTTAAATTTCATATATCCCTGTATTTAATATTGAGTTTTGTTTTTGGTGTTTGAAACAGGAGTTCTGCGAGTAAATAAAGTCAAACCATGAAAATATCATTCTCTGTGCTTATTACCTTTCATGTCAACCAAACTGTCAACTAGCATCTCCTTATTTTAGCTCGCAAGCAGATAAATAGCTGTATTTATATCAATTTTTCCTTCAACTCAGTGTGTGATTGTATAGTAGTATCCACAGTCAAATAACTGCAATATATTATGTGCTTTTTTTCAACTGGTGATTTTTTATTTCTTTAGGAATCTGTCACTAAGGTATTCAAAGTAGAGGTCAAGAAATTTGCATACACAAATACATGATTTTCACATGCTCTATATAGTAAAACATACTATAAATATTTTTACATTTCCATATGATAAATGCACTTAATTCCATTTAATTTCAACCGGCTATATTTGTGTAACCAATTTTTAAATCCTTCTTTATTTTAGAAATTTTCATTACTTCAAAATTTTACCTATATTAAAATAGCTTTATTTTACCACAAATTTTAAATCAATTTCAAACAGCTGTTATGTATCTTTTTGTATCTACAACTGTTAAAATGTCTGCAAAAAGCATATTTTTATAAATGCTATTGAGCAATTATATAATAATTCTTAGAAATGTAACTTCAAGGGAAATTATATATTCATTTTAGAACTTTTGGGTACATTTACCAAGGCATTATCTATGAACTTTATGTCAATATTTTCCTTCAACTCAGTGTGTGATTGTATAGTAGTATACACAGTCAAATAACCGCAATATATTATGTGCTTTTTTTCAAGAATATTGACCTTTAAATTTAATATAGGGTTTTGCCCTATGGATCTTAATTTGCAAAATTGCACCATAGAGTAGTCGTCTGTTCGGTCTACATGTAAGCTTTCATTCTTGTCTTCTGCATGTAGAGATATTTCCCCTAGATTTTTCATTTATACCTCTTTAATAGATATTTTCATAGTATTTTAAAACCAGAGTTGAATGTCTTCATTTTAGTTCTTAAGTTGTTCTGTAGTATTCCTTCAGCTATCACACTTAATTTTAACATACCCACATATATTTTAGTTTTGAATTAATATTTACAATATTAGGATTTCTCTTAAATGGCTAAAAAGCAATTTCCTTTTTGATTTCCTAGCAAAGCTCAATTAATTCGATGTATGAATGGATGTCATTTATTCCTTTAATATAGTTACTCTTGCCAGAAATTCAAGGATAGATTACTATGAGATCAATTACTGCAGTTAAATCCCAAGATTTGCTGTCACCACCACTGGGAGGGAGAGCTGATGATGGTTTTTTTTAAGACCTGTGACATTCCTGGGAACTATAGGAACTTACTATAATAAAAGACTAGGTAGTTTTAACTAAAGAGAAGGACACTCTTTTTAGCTTTTCTACTCTCTCCAATTCATTTCTTCTCAATCCAGTGGCTCCTAGAGCTATTATGTGGTAACTCCTTTCCTGCACCCTCTAGTCCTTATTCCAAAATATCATTCATTTTCTTCATTCATTGATAATTCTACCTTTTAAGAGGAAAATTTTAAGAAAATAGTTGCATCTTCCAATTTTTTTTTTTTTTTTGAGTTGGAGTCTCAGTCGCCCAGACTGGAGTGCAGTGGCTGCTCCCGGCCACCGCAGCCTCGACCTGCTGGGCTCCAGCGATCCTTCCGCCTCAGCCTTCCGAGTAGCCGGAATTACAGGCATGCACTACCACGCCCAGCTGATTTTTTGATTTATTGTTGAGATGAGGTCTCACTGCCCAGGTGGGTCTCGAACCCACGGGCTCAGGCAATCCACTCACCTCAACCTCCCAAAGGCGCGGGATCACAGGCTGAGCCACGGAGCTCGGCTCCAATTTTTAATAGTCTTAAAAAATGCAATGTTAACTAATTTTGTCAACATCATTAGACACACTGTCACACTGGGTGATTTTAATGCAGATATGCATTTTTTCCCTTTAAAGAGAAGCATCAGGGTGTGACAGAGATAACTTCTTACCATCTAAATTCACACTATCTTCATATAGCTATGAAAAATGCAACTCAAAAGATTCATGGATCTTTAAGTATTAAGGCAAATAATTGGATCTAATTTTGGTATGTCAAGTCAAACACGCTTCTCAGAGACAATCATAACCATACAGATTTACCAAAGATGAAAGTGAATAAAATAGCCACTGTACTTATTCTTTTGAGAGTTAAGGATACCTTCAGCTGATTTTTTAACAACAAGCATTCTAGAGGCTAATTTGATGATGAAGACCTAATAGCAAAGACTTCTGTGAAATTTTCTTGTCGCTCAGTTTATGAACCTTCATTTACTCAGATTTGTGCCCTGGCAGGACCTAGTACTCTGAGTAGATTGGGAAGATTTTTCCAAGCCAGGACTTTGGTTCCTATTTTCCTAGAAAAGATTTTCTAGCTCTTTTTTGGTTGAAAATAAAATACTGTTTCAAATACTGCCCTCTCTTGTTTTCAAAGCACTGATAATGTGACTTCTCCAGACAGGACGAGGGATTTTACACTATTTAGATTTATATTTGATTTATTTGCCAAACCTGCAAGTAAATAATAAACTCCTGGGTCCTTGGTGGCCCATATTCAAGCATTATTAATGAGTCTTCTTTGTATCGAACTTGGGCAAAAATCCTGAAAGATGCTGCAGTGGGGGCAGTGTCCTTAGAGACACAAACATGCAGGAATAGCAACAGGCTCAGGTCAAGATACAATCACAAAAAAAAATCAGGTGGTCAAGAACAAGTCTGCCTTTCTTAAATTTTTTTTTTATCATGTATGAAAATTGAAAGTTCACAAAACTAACCCACTTGCTATTTTTCCTCTAACATTAAAAAAGCAATAAAAGAGAAAAATATTAGAAAACTCAAAACAAGGGACAATTTTTAAATAATATTTCAGAGTAATATATAAATATTTATATGTATTCAAAAAATAAAATACAATTTTAATTATTAATGTCTATACCTTTTGTTTTTCATCTATGTAAACTTTATATCAATAAGTTTAGAGGTGAAATATGATGTATATTTTAGAACATCTATTAATAATTAAACCATTCTTATTAGTTTTAAATATATGTGCAGTTATCATTGTTACATAAAAACAGCTTCACTGTAGTCAATTGTATGATTATATCATCATCTCATGCATTTAGTTTGTTGGGTCTTTTTTTGCATACAGCAGATTACTGATTGAGAAAGTACACTTATATACATTTCTAAAGGTAGAATTTTAGAATGAAAATGAATTCACATTTTGATGCTTTTATATCAAATTACAGAAGTGCTCTTAAAAAGGTCATATCAAATTATATAGTCAAATTTTATTTTTGGCTTAGCTTAGTATTCACAACGAGTTCAATACTTATAACTATGCCTAATATGTAATATATAACTTTTTTCATCAGCTTGTTATTTGTTTTAATTTTGTTTATGCTATTATGATTATAGAAATTCATTATAATTCAGAAAATTTTTTTGCATGTTTGTAAATAGGTGTCGTATTTTCATGTTAATTTCTATGTTCTTTATGTGCTTATTGTTTTATTAATAGGCTATTACACTTTAATAAGAAATATATTCTAATATTAATATTGTACTTTTTATGATTTAGCTGGGTCTAAGGAGAATTTTTTATTTTAATGTTGAATTTTATAGTGGTTATCCTTAATAATATTTTGACATAAATATTTACAAAAAATTTTTTTTTTTTTTTTTTGAGTTGGAGTCTCACTCTGTCACCCAGACTGGAGTGCAACGGCCGCTCCCGGCCCACTGCAGCCTTGACCTGCTCTGGTGATCCT